GGGTCCAACCCGGTACTAGCATGGTGTACCTAATAAAGTGGCTGGTGAGTGTAATCCTGAGACATGTACTGTATTATGATGCAGTAAAACATGCTACAGATATGACTGCGTCTTTGTGTCAAAATAAGGTGTTAAAACAGATAAATACAAAATACATATATGGACATCAGATTTACTGCTCTATTTACAGGAAGTAAACACGTTATCTGTGTCCCTTATGAGTTAAGAAATCCCATGAAATTGTTAAAGAGCACGTTTGTCCTATTACATATCTAAAGAAAAAAACATGATGGCCAGAAGTAGAAATAATTAACAATACACCTGTATTAAACAATACAGGAAGGCTAACGGCACCAGAGAAGCTAACGACACCAGAGAAGCTAACGTGGCTTTTAAACGTCGACAGACTGAATATTTATTGAACAAAGCTGCAGTTATATTATTAATAATGAACTTGTAATGTTTTATGAACAAACCTGCTCTGTGTAACCAAAGCTGAGGGTTGAAAACAGCGTCCAGTAGTTTCCGTTGATGCTCATTCTCCTCTTTTCATCGACAAAGTTCCTCCTCGTACCCTGCTATCATTATGAATAAATCATCCATGTTTAACGGCGCAGCTGTAAGAGTTTAACTTAATGAGCTAAACGACAGTGTGACCAGGAGAGATCCAAACTGTGACTCGCAGTCGCATTTTGTGACCATGGAGCTCCAATGCGACTGGCAAATACTATAAATACATGAACTGGAGAGGCGTAAATTTGTTACCAGCTTACAGTGAAAAAATACTGACATTTAAAAGGCGCTGCAGTCACAGTTTAACCTTCTTCTAACTGCTAACAACTGACAAGAAGCTACAAGTTCACAGCAAAAACATGACTGAGATTATCTGGTCTCTTTCCAATCATCGTCACTATCATCAGTCTCAGGTTCAGAAGACTCTCCCGTCTTGTCATCAGTCTCAGGTTGTAAATGTGTGTCTGGATCTGAGTTCCTGGCTGGTTCTGGTCCTCCACAGTCCTCTCCTTCAGCCTCTGTTTTCATATGTTCAGCTGAGCTGCTGGCTGGAGGCTCTGCCTCTCTGTTCTCCTCAGTTTCACTTTGATGAGTCTGTGAGGACTGACAACCAACACACTGATGATTTTTGATTTGGCGAGGCCACATGAATCTCTGGTCACAAACATGGCAGCTGAAAGGTTTCTCTCCTGTGTGGATTGTCCTGTGAATACCTAAGTTTTCTTTGAGCATGAATCTCTTCCCAAACTCTCAAAGCTCTGTGGTTTTTCTCTTATATGAATTCTCATGTGTGTCTTCAGATTTCCACTTTCAGAAAAACTTTTCCCACACTCAGAGCAGCTAAATGGTTTTTCTCCTGTATGAGTTCGCATGTGTATCTTCAGAGTATTTGAGTGAGAAAATCTTTTCCCACACTCAGAGCAGCTAAATGGTTTTTCTCCTGTATGAGTTCTCATGTGTATCTTCAGAGCACCTGACTGAGAAAATCTTTTCCTGCACTCAGAGCAGCTAAATGGCTTTTCTCCTGCATGAGATCTCATGTGTACATTCAGATTTCTCCTGTCACCACAGCTTTTCCAACACACAGAGCAGCTGAATGGTTTTTCTACTGTATGAGTTCTCATGTGTACATTCAGAGTAACAGACCGACCAAATCTTTTCCCACACTCACAGCAGATAAAAGGTTTTTCTCCTGTATGAGTTCTTATGTGTGCCCTCACATCTTCTCGACTACGGAATCTCTTCCCACACTCGGAGCAGCCAAATGGTTTTTCTCCTGTATGAGTTCGCATGTGTACTTTCAGATTATATGAGTGAGAAAATCTCGTCCCACACTCAGAGCAGCTAAATGGTTTTTCTCCTGTATGAGATCTCATGTGTATCTTCAGAGTATTTGAGAGAGAAAATCTTTTCCCACACTCAGAGCAGCTAAATGGTTTTTCTCCTGTATGAGTTCTCATGTGTATCTTCAGAGTATTTGAGAGAGAACATCTTTTCCCACACTGAGAGCAGCTAAATGGTTTTTCTCCTGTATGAGTTCTCATGTGTATCTTCAGAGTATTTGAGTGAGAAAATCTGTTCCCACACTCAGAGCAGCTAAATGGTTTTTCTCCTGTATGAGATCTCATATGTGCTGTCAGCAGTGCTTTTCGACCAAATCCTTTCCCACACTCAGAGCAGCTGAATGGGTTTTCTCCTGTATGTGTCATCATGTGTCTTTTAACACCTGTCATGCGGCCAAATGTTTTCCCACATACAGAACAAGTAAATGTTTTTTCTCCCGTGTGAGTGCTCATGTGTTTCTTCAGATGACTTGATTGAGAAAATCCTTTCCCACACTCAGAGCAGGTAAATGGTTTTTCTCCTGTGTGAGTTCTCATGTGTCTCTTCAGAGCACTTAACCAAGAAAATCTTTTCCCACATTCAGAGCAGCTAAATGGTTTTTCTTCTGTATGGGATCTCAGGTGTGTCTTCAGAGTACCTGACTGAGAAAATCTTTTCCCGCATTCAGAGCAGCTAAATGGTTTTTCTCCTGTATGAGATCTCATGTGTACGTTCAGATTTCCCCTATCACCAAATCTTTTCCCACACTCAGAGCAGCTGAATGGTTTTTCTCCTACATGAATTGTCATGTGTGCCTTCAGGGGACTTGATTGAGAAAATCTTTTCCCACACTCAGAGCAGCTAAATGGTTTTTCTCCTGTATGAGTTCTCATGTGTATCTTCAGAGTATTTGAGAGAGAAAATCTTTTCCCACACTCAGAGCAGCTAAATGGTTTTTCTCCTGTATGTGTTGTCATGTGTCTCTTAACATCTGTCACGCATACAAATCTTTTCTTACATACAGAGCAGCTAAATGGTCTCTTGTCAATACTACATGTCAAGTTACTGACAGGGACTTCATCATCATTGAGAAAGGTTAAACCTGACTGAGGTTCTCTGGTCTCTGTCCAATCATCACTGTCATCAGTCTCAGGTTGTAAATGTGTATCTGGATCTGAGTTCCTGGCTGGTTCTGGTCCTCCACAGTCCTCTCCATCAGCTCCAGTTTTCATCTGTTCAGTGTGTCTTTGATGAAGATATGAGGACTGAGGTTTCTCTTCATCATCTTCACTCTTCACAGGGACAGGAGTGGATGTGAACTCCTGTTCCTCTTTAATGTGTGGAGGCTCTGTGTCCTCCTGGTCCTCTTTAATGTGTGGAGGCTCTGGGTCCTCCTGGTCCTCTTTAATGTGTGGAGGCTCTGGGTCCTCCTGGTCCACACTGGAGCTCCACTCCTGCTGCTCAGGGGGAACCTCTTCTTTAACCACCAACAGCTGCTGGACGTCTGCAGGAAACAGGAAACACAGAATTAAACCTCTACTAAAAAAGCCCACCCTGGATCCAGAGGTGTTAGCCAACTATAGACCAATATCTAATCTTCCCTTTATGTCAAAGATCCTTGAGAAAGTAGTCGCAGACCAGCTGTGTGACTTTCTCCATGATAATAATTCATTTGAGGAATTTCAGTCAGGATTTAGAGTGCATCATAGCACTTAGACAGCACGAGTTAAAATTACAAATGATCTTCTGATTGCTTCAGACAAAGGACTCATCTCTGTACTTGTTTTATTAGATCTTCATGCGTCGTTTGACACAATTGACCATATGCAAAAGGCTCAAGGAGTGAACCTGTTGCACCCCACTTGCCCTTTGCACACGACTTGCTCTCTCTCTCCTACCCCTGCTCGCCCTTTGGGTTTTTCAGTTTGTGTGCGTCTATGACCACAAGTCAGTATTGATTTGTTTATAGTTAAGATGTTTAGGCACTGTTAACAATTTATACAGTGTTGTTGGAAGCCTAGCAGCTATTTATGTGGTCATTTCCTACAAGCTTGCATTGAGTGATTAATTTCCCTTATCTGTTCCGTTTATTTCACCTGTCAAGTAGTTCCTATTTGCACTGTGTAACTTGATAGTTCATTTGAATAATTTAATGCTGCTTTCCTTGATTCTTTCTTTTTAGAATCACACTCCCATACATAGAAATAGTGCCTGTGCATCTGTTCTATGCCTTGAGTTGCAATAAATCTCTAAAAGGATTCCTGCTTCCCGTGTCCTGACTGGACACCCCATATTGTTGACTACCTTTCCTGAACCACCAAGAGCTTCAATACAGACCATCAAATTCTGCTACAGAGACTGGAACACTTAACTGGCCTAAAAGGTTCTGCACTAAGCTGGTTTAAATCTTATTTATCTGATTGTTTTCAGTTTGTTCACGTTCATGATGAATCATCCTTACGTACCAAAGTTTGTTTTGGAGTTCCGCAAGGTTCTGTGCTCGGACCAATCCTATTTACTCTATATATGCTTCCTTTAGGTAACATCATTAGAAATCACTCTGTAAATTTCCATTGTTATGCGGATGATACACAGTTGTATTTATCGATGAAGCCAGAAGAAACTAATCAATTAACTAAACTCCATAACTGCCTTAAAGACATAAACATAAACAACTCAGAGACTCTTTATCTGATGACATAGTTTCTCTAGATGGCATTGCTCTGGCCTCTAGCACTACCGTAAGAAACCTCGGAGTAATATTTGATCAAGATTTGTCTTTTAATTCTCATTTAAAACAAACCTCACGGACTGCATTTTTTCATCTCCTTTATATTGCAAAAATTAGGCCTATCCTGACCCAAAAAGATGCAGAAAAATTGGTCCACGCTTTTGTTACCTCTAGGCTGGATTACTGTAACTCTCTATTATCAGGTAGCTCTAGTAAGTCCTTAAAAACTCTCCAGCTAATTCAGAATGCAGCAGCACGTATACTAACAGGAACTAAGAAACTAGATCATATTTCTCCTGTTTTAGCTTCTCTGCACTGGCTCCCTGTAAAATCCAGAATTGAATTCAAAATCCTACTGTTAACTTATAAAGCTCTAAATGGTCAAGCTCCGTCATATCTTAGAGAGCTCATAGTGCCATATTATCCCACCAGAACACTACGTTCTGAGAATGCAAGGTTACTCGTGGTTAGGGATGGGAATCGAAAACTGGTTCCTGTTAAGAACCGGTTCCAACTGGTTCAATTCATTGACATCATTAGCCTTTATGCTTAACGATTCCCATATCAATTCTTTTCATTACGCCGAGTCTTTACGTCGTTGACGACGCACGTCACGCTCGTCAGTCAGCAGCATGTTCAGCAACAAAGAAGACGTAATGGTGGAGAGACAGAAGTGATCAAAAGCGTGGTTTCACTTCACCAAAAAACACTCTAACAGCTCGATGCGCAATTTATGCAGCACCGTAATTACATGCAAGAAACACCACCAACTAGGCCTGAAGGATATATCTTTTAAGCATTGCCATCGCGATGCACATGTGTGCAATATTTACATCGCAGGGCTTTTGATGTGGCTTGCCCTAATTAAATTAAGCATGCACGCTTAAATTGCCTAGTGATGGGCGTTAAATTTGCTTCTGTTTTAATGACTGATCAACAAAAGATGTCTAATTTTGTGGAATAAAGAATAAACGGCCTATTCAAGTGCTGGAATTTGTTATTTAGGCTATGTGACAACACCTGAACGCAACACAGGCTCCGCTCCATAGACTGTGTGTACAGGGTCGTGCTGTGGGTTCAGGCTGGGATCAGATCTGTTTCCTATAACACTGTCCCGGCCCAAACAGCAAACAAAGCATGCATTCAGAGGACGCTGTATTTGTTTGGAAAATGTGTACAGATAAAGGCAAGTGTTTGTCTGTGAATGCTCGTGTTTGAAATTGTCTCTACTAAGCCATGTTTAATGTGTGTTTTGAGTATGTTTGGGTATGTATAAAACTGCTTGTGACATCTCAAATGTGGCTTTGACTTGTAACTGAACATGTTGCCTGTTTTGGAGAAAATACCGAGAACTATATCATGCATCGCCAGTCAGCCTGTTGACACCATATCTCCCAGCCTTCACCTCAATTTACTGAAAGAAAGGTCAAAAGACATGGTAGATGAAAGAAAATCATCAGACAAGTTTTTAGGTTTATCTTTCACTGACGACTACATCATCATAACAGGGAGAACACATTCTGACAGCAAACAATGTCAGATACTGTTTCCTGTGTCCAATGTGAAAGAAAGCTCATACATCTGTTACAATCATGCTGCTGACTTGTTTAATCACATCAGATAAGTCCTGTGATTACCTTATCCAGGCTACCCAGCAGTCCCTCAGGTAATATATAAAATACATACATAAATACATTTAAGTACGCTCGATACTGAGCATCTGCAACATTAAAATGATGAACAGATTTATTGGATCCTATTCACAGGAACTTAACACGTTACCTGTGTCGTTTATGAGTTAAGAAATCCTACTAATTTGTTATAAAGCATGTTTGTCCATATTAAATATCCAAATAAAAAGAAACAATACAGGAAAGCTAACGGCACCAGAGAAGCTAATGACACCAGAGAAGCTAACGTGGCTTTTAATCGTCGACAGACTGAATATTTATTGAACAAAGCTGCAGTTATATTATTAATAATGAACTTGTAATGTTTAATGAACAAACCTGCTCTGTGTAACCAAAGTTGAGGGTTGAAAACAGCTTCCAGTAGTTTCCGTTGTTGCTCCTTCTCCTCTTTTGATTGACAAAGTTCCTGTCGAATATGATACCTCTTCATTTAATCCTTTGGGAGATAGAGTTTGCAGATGACATATCCAGTCTCCCTCTGTTCTGCCAATTGTTTCAGTGTTGCCACCTCTCTCTGACAGAGTGAGAGCAGGTGTTTCTGTGACGATCTGGAGAATTCAAGGATGAGGCCGATCACTTTCTTAATGCACGTTTAGTTACGAGCTCGGATCAACGTGGCTGCACACAGACGCTATGTGATAAGTGTGAACAGAGAGAGACACAGCTTATGTAGGACGGTAGCATGTATACTATGACCTAAAATGGTGCCATGCCACATTTAACTTGACCTTGGGCCAACTAAAATTAGTCTAACATGTCCATTCACCAGTAAGCCATGTTGGAACATGATCCCCAGGGGGGTCTTGTTTCCACTGGTCAGTGGAGATGTCAAAATACAAACTAACATCGAGTCACTTTTTCAATACTGTGAAGGCATTTTGTTGTGTTCCAGCCTTTAGCCTTGATCATTGATGGAAATTGATGATAGTTATGCTTAAGGTAACAGGCGGGTCAGCAGAAGGCCCAAAAGAGGCCTCCAGGTCAGTGTAGTGGTTTATAATACATATGATACATACGTACATCATACATAATATTACGTTGATTATACTATTCACATTAGTATCTACGACATTGTTATATTCCCATTCAGTCACTCCTTATTGGGTTAATATTGCCTCAGGGCTTGGCAGTCAGGGACAGATGGAATGTGTGGAATGTGGTGCTTGACTTGGCCACTGAATGTTGCCTTATTAGGAAGTTAGGTCCTCACTGAACATATGAGATAAGGGGTCGAATTGGGCTCAAAGAAACACAGGCAGAGACTTCTCTGGGGCTTCTCTCTGTCCTCTCTCCAGGCCATCTGTCTCTGTTGCTCAGTTCCTCCAACCTGCTTGTTCCAACTATTGTAACATCACTGTATACATAATAAATGTGCTATTGAACTGTATTGATTGCTCTGTCATTATTATTTGCCACCACATCAGGCTACTTGACCGTCATTATGAACGCATACAAGGGAGGAGGACTTTTAAGAGGCTAAACAGTTTCTTAAAGGGATAGTGCACCCAAAAATGAAAATTCAGCCATTATCTACTCACCTATATGCCGAGGGAGGCTCAGGTGAAGTTTTAGAGTCCTCACATCCCTTGTGGAGATCCCAGGTGAGAGGAGGTAGCAGCACAACTCCACCTAATGGAGGCTGACGGCGCCCCAGATTAAAACGTCCAAAAACACATAATTGAAACCACAAAATATCTCCATACTGCTTGTCCGTAGTGATCCAAGTGTCCTGAAGCCCCGACATAAAAAGTTGTTTGGAAAAACGTCTTTTAAACTCTGTTTTTAGTGTCATTGTAGCCTGTAGCTCTCACAAGGGATGTGAGGACTCTAAAACTTCACCAGAGCCTCCCTCGGCATATGGGTGAGTAGATAATGGCTGAATTTTCATTTTCGGCTGCACTATCCCTTTAAGCACAGGAGAAAATAAAAGTTTCATTGAGCGTACCTGTTTGTTTTTTAAGTATAATCCAGAAAATTATTCTCCTTAAAAGTAACGACTTTGAAAATAGTGCTTTTATTTGTTCAAAATTCTCAACATTAGAAAGTACCAAAATGAAAACAGTAACTGAATCCCCCTCAGTCTGCTGAGGGTTAACGATGCGCACCTGGGGACACTTGTTCGCGTGTTCTAATGTGTGTTCACCAAATGTTAGGAAGGACTCTTGCCTTGCCTCTGGAGAATCCTTCCCTGGAGGGACTCATCCAACCAGGGAAGACTCCCTGATTTTGAGAAACACCCACAGTCAGCCACAGTGAAGAATACAGCCTCCGGAGCGATGAGATTAACTGGGATTTTCAGCACAACCATGTCTAGGGTTTACAGAGGATGGTTCCAAAAAGAGAAAATATCCAGTGAGCCAAAATGCCTTGTTGATGCCAGAGATCAGAGGAGAATGGCCAGACTGGTTCAAGATGATAGAAAGGCAACAGGAAGTCAAATAAGCACTGATTACAATGTGTACATCTTCTGATGGCTACTTCCAGCAGGATAACACACCATGTCACAAAGCTCACATCATCTCAAACATGACAATGAGTTCACTGTACTCCAATGGCCTCCACAGTCACCAGATCTCAGTCCAACAGAGCACCTTTCTATCTTTCTAATACCTTTTTAATCTGTGACACCAAGAATTAAAAAGGGGGTCCAACCCGGTACTAGCATGGTGTACCTAATAAAGTGGCTGGTGAGTGTAATCCTGAGACATGTACTGTATTATGATGCAGTAGAACATGCTACAGATATGACTGCGTCTTTGTGTCAAAATAAGGTGTTAAAACAGATAAATACAAAATACATATATGGACATCAGATTTACTGCTCTATTTACAGGAAGTAAACACGTTACCTGTGTCCCTTATGAGTTAAGAAATCCCACTAAATTGTTAAAGAGCACGTTTGTCCTATTACATATCTAAAGAAAAAAACATGATGGCCAGAAGTAGAAATAGCTAACGGCACCAGAGAAGCTAACAACACCAAAGAAGCTTTCTTTTCTTTTAATAAACTGAACACATATTAATGAACACACAAGATTCTGTAGAGAATTCATACATATAATACAATAAACATTGTCAAATTAAATGAAAGAAGAGGATTTTTTTAAACGCAAATAAAATATTGGGGATTTATGTAAAAATATACATAGAGACATATAAACATTATATAATGAAAGATATGTAGGCTATGTTAGGTGAATACTCCTGTCAGTGACCCTGACCACTGGCATTGGCAAAAAAACTGGAGTTGGTCCCCGGACGCTGCACTGCGGCTGCCCACTGCTCCCAGTGTATACAGTAGGATGGGTCAAATGCAGAGGTCAAATGTATGCAATGTGCTGAGAAAGGAGAACAAAGAATCTTCTTCTAATAATTTTTTTAATAACTAGGAGATAACAAAAGAATAAAGAGATTTCAAAGACTTAAAAAATAAGGGACATGAATCAAAACAATAAACGAGATATATCCCCAGTCATGCACACCCACTTCTAATAAACTCAGTACTGTTTTTCAACACATATATTGTTTTGTCTTCATTCAATGTAGTTAGCACATATTGTTATTGCGCCATTGGTTTTGGCCTTGGTGCCCCAATAAATTTGTATTTATCAAAGGCCAAAGTGCCCTTGCCCTAAAAATAACTTAATTCCAGGCCTGTAATGGTGTATTTCCTCTCCTGTTTCTGTCCTCGGAGGGGCCAGTTGCAGTGTGCTGCTTTTTTATGTGCTGCTGCCTCCATTGGCTGAGCAGCGAAAATATGCACCACACAGCCAGAAAAAAAACCTCTTAAGCAGGGCAAGTAAGAATTTAGATGGGGCAAGTAGATTTGGGAAGTACTTGCCCGGCCACTGACGGCTCCGCATGAGACGGCAAACTTTTCCCCTCAAAAAATGGCATGACATGACTTGTCACCACTCATCGCGATTTTGGACTTTGTGTGTTTAGGCTGCCCTGATGCAAAATCCATAAGGAATGAAAGAAAAACGATTCCGGATTCAGGAAGCCGAGAGCTTCACATGGTTTGATGAAGTAGTGCGCCTGGGAGATACCATTTAACAGAGGAGGGAGGGAGCGCAGACGCCGGTGTCTGAACGGAGTTAAAGAGGTTAAAAAGGGGATCCAACCCGGTACTACCAAGATGTATCTAATAAAGTGGCTGGTGAGTGTAATCCTGAGACATATATTATGATACAGTAAAACATGCTACAGATATGTTAAAACAGATAAATACAAAATACATATATGGACATCAGATTTACTGCTCTATTGACAAGAAGTAAACACGTTACCTGTGTCCATTATGAGTTAAGAAATCCCGCTAAATTGTTAAACACATATGTTGTTTTTATCCTGTATGAGTTGTCATGTGTCTCTTCAGAGTAGCTGGCCAAGAAAATCTTTTCCCACACTCAGAGCAGCTATATGATTTTTCTCCTGTATGAGTTGACATGTGTGACTTCAGAGTATTTGAGTGAGAAAATCTTTTCCCACACTCAGAGCAGCTAAATGGTTTTTCTCCTGTGTGAGTTCTCATGTGTGTCTGCAGAGCACCTAACCAAGAAAATCTTTTCCCACACTCAGAGCAGCTATATGGTTTTTCTCCTGTATGAGTTGACATGTGTGACTTCAGAGTTTTTGAGTAAGAAAATCTTTTCCCACACACAGAGCAGGTATATGGTTTTTCTCCTGTATGAAATCTCATGTGTTTCTTCAGATCTCCACTTTGAGAAAATCTTTTCCCACACTCAGAGCAGTTAAATGGTTTTTCTCCTGTATGAAATCTCATGTGTTTCTTCAGATCTCCACTTTGAGAAAATCTTTTCCCACACTCAGAGCAGGTAAATGGTTTTTCTCCTGTATGAAATCTCATGTGTGAATTCAGATGACCTGACTGAGAAAATCTTTTCCCACACTCAGAGCAGCTAAATGGTTTTTCTCCTGTATGAAATCTCATGTGTTTCTTCAGATCTCCACAGTGAGAAAATCTTTTCCCACACTCAGAGCAGCTATATGGTTTTTCTCCTGTATGAAATTTCATATGTGAATTCAGAGCACCTGACCGAGAAAATCTTTTCCCACACTCAGAGCAGCTAAATGGTTTCTCATCCACACTACATTTCAAGTCATTGACAGGGTCTTCATCATTTTTAAGAGAGTTTAAACCTGACTGAGGTTCTCTGGTCTCTGTCCAATCACCACTGTCATCAGTCTCAGGTTGTAAATGTATATCTGGATCTGAGTTCCTGGCTGGTTCTGGTCCTCCACAGTCCTCTCCATCAGCTCCAGTTTCCATCTCTTCAGTGTGTCTTTGATGAAGCTGTGAGGACTGAGGTTTCTCTTCATCATCTTCACTCTTCACAGGGACAGGACTGGATATGGACTTGGTGATATCAGCCTCCTCCAGCCCTTGAAGCTGCTCTCCCTCCTGACTGATCCAGAGTTCCTCCTGTTCCTCTTTAATGTGTGGAGGCTCTGGGTCCTCCTGGTCCTCTTTAATGTGTGGAGGCTCTGGGTCCTCCTGGTCCACACTGGAGCTCCACTCCTGCTGCTCAGGGGGAACCTCTTCTTTAACCACCAACAGCTGCTGGACGTCTGCAGGAAACAGGAAACACACAGATGTTACAGAGAAATGTTGTCGTTCATTCACATCACAGCTCAAAAACTCCTTACTGAACTTCTACAGATCTCTGAGCATCAAACAGCTTCACAGTGTTCACTCAGCTGTGTCAGAGTGAGTGAGGTTGAGCTAAGCTTTCATTTTTGCAGCAATTATTAACATCCATTGAGACTTGTCATGTTTGGAGGCCCCAGTGCAGCTCTTCATTTGTTCAGGCTTATGTGAATTATGTAAGAATGACTGTCCACGGGATGCCAGAGTTTGCAGTGAGTCAAGTTTGACAGCTTGCCCATTGAGATCTGTTTCCTCTAACACTGTCTCGGCCCAAACAGCAAACAAAGCATGCATTCACAGGAAGCTAACCCCCCCAGGTACTGTGCTCAAACCACTGAAGTACTGCAGAAAGTGTTAAGGCGGTATTAATACTTCTGCGTTGAACCACTGTCCATGTTTGTGAGCTGAAACCATTTCCCTCAGTGGAAACAAAGCTTTAATTTACTTTAATTTCACAGAAAAAAAACAAACTGTGAAGAAGAGGAAATCTCTGCCATTCGCTAGGCTAATTTATACAATGTAAAGTGCCATAGACTTGTGCTAAAAACATTAGCATGTTGTAGTTGTTTGGAAAACGTGTTTAGTATAATGGTGCGTTCCAGGCAACCCGTAACTCATGTTTTCACAACCTGTAACCCGTGAAAGTGCACTGGAATGGCAGTTAAACCCGTAACTTCCCACCCATGAACTCGTACAAGATCGATGTACTCCCAGTTACGCTTTCTAACGTCACACAGCCCTCTAAACCAATTATCTTACTCCTCTAAACAACAATGGCAGCCCTATGGATGCGGTGTTGATGCAGGTGATACATGATGAGAAATAGACATAAAATAACCCTAATGTTAACGCATTATTGGCAGACGCTCTAACAGCTGGTTTCCAGTGCAAGAATAATCAATACAAAATACGTTTCCAAACACACAGATAATGTAAAATAAAAAGTATAATAGCATCTGTGACCTTATGCGCCGTTTCTCCTTCTCCGTTTCATTCAAATGAGCAAGGAGCAGGCACCTTTGGCGATAGAAATAATGGGGAAGCACAAACAAACGGTTCGCCATGTTCAACGTTAAACAGGAAGTAACTGGCGTAACTTTCCTGGAACGCTACAAAGTCGTAACTCCTGACTTGAAGTCGTGACTTACGAGTTCAAAAGCCTGCCTGGAACGCACCATGAGACAGTTGTTTTGTCGATGAACCCTGTGAGCTGTAATGGAGACAAATTTTTGTAACGTTACCTTTGTTAAATGTTGCTGTTGCTCCTGGTTTCATATGAGCAGAGGAAATCTCTGCTAACCACTATGCTAATTTAAATTTAAAATTTGTGGAGAAAATGTGTCCAGATAAAGACAAGTGTTTGTCTGTGAATGCTGCGAGTTATAGTGAAGCTGATTTGTGTACTTGTGTTTGAAATTGTTCCTACAAAGCCATGTTCAATGTGTGTTTTAGTTGTTTTGAATCAACTAAACTTTATAGAACTTCACAGAACCCCAACAGAAAATAGCTAACACCAGAGAAGCTAATAGCACCGGAGAAGCTAACGACATCGAAGAAGCCAACAGAACCAGAGAAGCCACTGGCATCAGAGAAACTAGCGGCACCAAAGAAGTTAATGACACCAGAGAAGCTACTGACACAGGGCGTAAAATTAAGAACCGCCTAGTGCCAATGGCGGGTAAAAAATGAGATACGCGTGTAAAACAAAAACAAATACCCGCCGGTGGCCGATGGAAAATTTTGAATTGCAAGTGGGTTTTTTATGTGCTTCGACCATTTCTCCCAGCTGTGTCAGACTATTTTGACCCTTGCGGCTTATTGTATGTGTGCCGGGAACCCATGACATCAGCTACCAGAACTTCTGGCATTCTATGGTGACTTCTGAGCAAGATGTGTGGCGTGAAACCACTGCCAGAAAAAAGGAAAAACGAAGATGAACATGTTGAACTTGTACAAGAGGAACAGACAGTTAAACGGAGTACAAATATCGCACAGCGTTTTATTGAAAAATGGAAACTAGATGAGGCTGCCTAGCCGCGGTCGTGGCTGACCTCCGACCCCACACCAACACGATGAGCTGCAGCCTTTACCGCAAGCACCCCAAAGAAACACAGAGGCCAAATCCCTTTGTTTGAGGGACATGGAACATGAAATTATTAAGGCTGCAGTCTCCTGGTTAACTAGTTGATTATTTTGTCGCTATGCTCTCGTCCGACCAAATTTTCATTAGTCGAACAATAACTATGTTACTTTCATGAGGAGAAAAGTGCTCTATCAGTAGCTTTTCAGGATTAATCCATTATTTCCTGCAGCGGGGGGAGAGGCTAAGTTACCTGTGAAAATGGGGGTGTTTTCAAAATTTATTTTATTTGTGAAGTCACAATTTATTGTGACTTCACAAATTCACAAATTGTGACTCGTCGCTAGGCTAATTTATACAGTGTAAAATGCCATAGGCTGGCGCTAATAACGTTAGCATGTTGTATTTGTTTAGAAGGCGTGTTTAGTATAAGACAGTTGTTTTGTCTGTGAATGTTGTGAGTTGTAATGGAGTCAAATTATGTGCCGTTACCTTTGTTACATGTTGCTGTTGTCCCTGGCTTTATATGAGACAAGGGAAAGATCGCTAGACGCTTGGCTAATTAATACAATGTAAATTGCCATAGACTTGTGCTACTAACGTTAGCATGCTGTATTGGTGGGGGAAATGTGTCCAGATAAAGACAAGTGTTTGTCAATTCTGTGATTTATAGTGAAGCCGATTTATATACTTGTGTTAGAAATTGTCTCTATTAAGCCATATTTAATGTGTTTTGAATCAACTAAACTTTACAGCACTTAACACAGTCCTCCACTGCCGACTAGCGTTTTGGAGGTGTAACTGCAGAGTGACACAGACACACTACTGCAGATGTAAAAAATAACATGCAGATTTTTTCCCTCACAACTAATTGATTAGTTGAAGATTTGTCTACTTTAGTCGACCAAGATTTTCTTTGGTTGACTACAGCCCTACAAATTATAAAGTATTAAAGACCACGAGAGGTCTAGATGCCACAGTGATTGCCTGAAAGCCTCTCAACCTATGAACTCAACCCCTCTGGTAAAGTCAGTGACGGTGACCCAACCCAACGAAAAGAAAAATGATGACCATGTTCAGGACCGTTCACACCTTGGGAAAGAAGGGAGGGCCGATGGCTGACTTCAAGTGGCTCTGCAAGTAAGTGTTTTAACTCTTCAGTCACTATAAAATTGGCGGGAACTGTTGAGTTTGAGTTGACGTTAACATCAATAACGCTTTTCGTCGGCTGCTATCATGTAAACTAGTTTTAACTACTGTTCATGTTACCCCTATGAACGCTAAGTTAACTTACTACCACTAAATTGGTAACATTACATTAGTCCTCTAACATTGCCTGAACGACAGATATCGCAGGTGTGTGTGTGTGTGTTTTTAAATCATAGCCAGTAAGCTAACGTCACAGTAGCATATAGTAGCACACAGTGGTACTCCTGTGCTACTGTGTGCTACTGTATGTAATGTTAGTTATGTTTGCTTCCTGGTTTGATAAAACCCCATCATCTGCGATGTTAATTATTCAGGTGACATTAGAGGAGACTGGGTAAAATTGTGTTTTTCCCTTTGTCATTCTAATGTTAATAATGTTCTCCCTTTGGGGATCAAAAAAGTGATTCTTATTCTTATTCTCTTGTCTTTTTAGGCTGGATGAGATGAAAGGCCTGCTAATAGGGAAGACCAGAAACACACTTGAAGAATGGAGCTGTTGGAAGGGAAGAGAACAGATGAATATAAAAAGATGAAAAGAAAGGAGTCAAGAAGTTTATGCTTGATCAAAAATGCAATAAAACTGAGCCTAAAGCTCAATACTGCAGTCAGATTCTCCTTTTCTTTATGTTGGAAAAATGTACACATGATTTTGAAGAAACTTTTAAGTGGTGTTAAAAATAAAATACTGACTTAAAATTCTGCTTTGGTTGAATTTTGCATTTGAAAATGTATTTCAAGATTTACCTCATTATGTTTGACAGTAAAACCTTTATCCTAGCGCCCCAAATGTATCCCGTCTGTATACCTGTGATTAAAGCTTCATACTGGCTCACTCAAAGTAATAGTCGCTTATAATAATGGTGAAAACAATATCGTTGGCCATTCGATATTGTTATCAAATTTATTATTAACGCATATAAAAATGTTGAAGACACTGGAGATAAAAAAAAATAACTTTGATTACGAGCATGAAAGAGTTACGCAGGAACTGAGTATAAGAGCCTAACTGATTAAAATGTAAGATACNTAATAATGTTCTCCCTTTGGGGATCAAAAAAGTGATTCTTATTCTTATTCTCTTGTCTTTTTAGGCTGGATGAGATGAAAGGCCTGCTAATAGGGAAGACCAGAAACACACTTGAAGAATGGAGCTGTTGGAAGGGAAGAGAACAGATGAATATAAAAAGATGAAAAGAAAGGAGTCAAGAAGTTTATGCTTGATCAAAAATGCAATAAAACTGAGCCTAAAGCTCAATACTGCAGTCAGATTCTCCTTTTCTTTATGTTGGAAAAATGTACACATGATTTTGAAGAAACTTTTAAGTGGTGTTAAAAATAAAATACTGACTTAAAATTCTGCTTTGGTTGAATTTTGCATTTGAAAATGTATTTCAAGATTTACCTCATTATGTTTGACAGTAAAACCTTTATCCTAGCGCCCCAAATGTATCCCGTCTGTATACCTGTGATTAAAGCTTCATACTGGCTCACTCAAAGTAATAGTCGCTTATAATAATGGTGAAAACAATATCGTTGGCCATTCGATATTGTTATCAAATTTATTATTAACGCATATAAAAATGTTGAAGACACTGGAGATAAAAAAAAATAACTTTGATTACGAGCATGAAAGAGTTACGCAGGAACTGAGTATAAGAGCCTAACTGATTAAAATGTAAGATACTGCAAAAGCAAGTCGACAAAATAAAAAAACA